GCTGATGGCAGTCATCGGTCCTGTGCCCCAGGTGCCGATGGAAGCGACAGTAGGGGAACTGAGGGTTGATAGCGTGTACCTTCGGGGGTGCGCGAGAGTCGCGCTCAACGAGGCCCCTCTCCTCGGCAAAATCGAGGATGATGCTGACGGGGTGCGTCAATGGTGTCCGAGGGCGGTCCAGGAGAATGGGCTGGGCCCAAGTCTTAGGGTTGCCCTTATAACCTCCCCCGGGCTTGGCTTGGCCTTGCCGAGGGCGGTCATCAGAGGGTCCCGAGGCCTTGGGGTGATTTGGAGGAGCCCCCGGCCCTCGGTTATGCTTGTTGTCAGCCCTCGGGGGCTGCTGGTCCGGATGCTGGTGATACTTCTCCACCTCCTCGGCCTCAGCATATCGGTCCCCCCGCTGCAAAGCTTTTATGTAGTCACGGGGGGGGGGGGGGGTTCAATGATGAGGCTCCTTGAAAAGTTACCGGTGCGGAGGACGGTTTGTAGGAGGGCCAGGAGGGTCCCGTCATCGGCACCGTCGACCTTGTCGGCCTCCGTCCTCCAGCGCTCCAGGAAATCCCGAAGGGTCTCATCCTTCTTCTGGCGTATTGTTAGGAGGTGGGAGAAGTGCTTCCTTGTGCGACGCCTCCCGGCGAATTGCGTCAAGAATCGTTGGGCGAGTTCTTGCCACAAATCAATGCAGCCCTCGGGCAGCCTGTTGCACCATTCGTATGCCGGTCCCTCTAAGGTGGAGAGGAACCATCGACACAAATATTCGTCTAACGCCCCCACCATCATCATGCTGTTCTGGTATTTGCTGTAGTGTTCCTGGGGGTCCGTTTTCCCGTTGTAGGGCTGTATGTGTTGCCCTCGGTATTTTTCCGGGATCCGGGCCGCCAACACCCTTGGGGTAAATGGCGTCCGAGTCCGGAGCTGGATGACGGGTTCCCCGGAACCCTCGGCCACCTTCTTCTGTAACTCCTCCATTTTGGCCATCATGGCCTCGTATTTGAGATCTGAATGAGGGGTGGAGGTGGTGGCGTGAGCTTTGTTGGACTCCATCTCGTCAAGCCGGCGTTGGAGGGCCGCAATAATCTCGTCCCGGGGATCCTTCGGGAGGGTCTCCGCCCCCTGCGAACGAACCCGGGCCGAGTGGGCTTGGTTGATTTGGTGCTGGGCATCATCGGCATGAAGGGGTGCCTTGCCTTTGTCCCGAGGGGGACGCTCCTCGTCTGCCCTTGAAACAGATCCCCCGCTTTCCTGGGGCCTTTGGAGTGTTTTCCCCCCGAGGCGGTCTTGGACCCCTCGGCGGTCTGGCCCTCCTCCGAGCCGGTTGAGGGCGGAAGTACGGGGCCTTTCCCTGTTGTCATTATGGCGGTCCCGGGACTGAACTTCCTGGGAGGTCGTATCTTGGGCCACCACCCCTTCGTCGTTTCTCACCCGAGGGGTGGGATTTCCGAAGGGGTGTGGCAGAGGGGGAAGTATGATATTTTCCCCGATCTGAGGGTGAGCTGGAGCCAGGGTGCCGAAGGCACCCGGGTTCTGGGTGAGCGTTTGGATGAAGGCGGAGAGCGCCGATTGCACGTCGATGGTGAGAACCGGAGGGCTGACTTGGTCATCGCTCCGGTTTTTCATCTTGGCCTCGATGCCGAGGCGGGCATCGGGGGCATTTTGTTGGATCTGAAGGCGTAGGTCGACAGCCGCCTGTTCCAACCCAGCGATGACACCGCCCTCGGGAGCCCTGTGAGAGGCTTCGGGGGCGTTGACGTCGCCGAGGGCCAGGTTCTTGTCTTCTACGTTCTTTGAGTTGGCACGTGTTGTCCTCACCATTTTGATAGAGGGCTAGTGTTTTGTGTTTGGTCGAGGGGGAGGGTTTCTTACTCGATTGTTCAACCTCTCAACGAGAGCACCAAGTGATGGATAGTCTACCCGGAGGTATATATCCGAAGGGTTATTACGGGGAATAACTTAGAGAGAAGTCAGAGCAAGTAAGTAAAAGTAGAGAGAGAGTGTATTCAGTATGAATGCCGTTTTCAGCGTGGTTACAAATGAGGGAGTGCTATTTATAGTAGCAATAAATGCCGGGCAGGGACACGTGTCAAGCGCTCATTGGCCGAGGGGTCACCTCAACTGGTTGGCGCTGGCAGCCGCATGTGGCCGCATTTAATGCGGCTGTTGGATGGGACGTCTATGCGGGGTACGGTGATCTGTACGCATGTGAGGCGGATATCTTGTCGAGTGAGGTGCCTTCGGCTATAGAGCAGTAGCCGAGGGCTCTTCCAACCGATGGCACCCTGGTGCCAAGGGCTCACAATGCCGAAGGCTACTGTTTTCGCCGTTTTCTCCCAGTTTCTTAATTTGCTTGAGAAACCCGTTATGTGAGAATTTGGAGCCTTCGGCCAGGGGGCCGAAGGCACCCCTGGCGCGTAGTGCGGACTGCCTGGTACTCTGGGCGCTGTGATTTGGGCCTGTTGGGCCTTTGCTGGAGTAGTAGGAGTCTGTGGGCCGGGGGTTCCCGGGCCATATACTCCATCAACTAGCTAACCCAACTTTATTTTATTTTCCTTATTTTATTCCAACCATCATTTTTAGTCCAGAACATTATTTTCAATCTTAGTGATTTATTTATTTCATCATTAATATTAAAGTTTTCTTATTTAATTACTTAATTAGTTTTATATGGCCCAATTAAATTAAATAGCTTAGTAATCGACTTTATAAATTAATAACCATCCATAACTATATCTTGGGTCCATATTTGACCTAGGTCGTCCAGATATTTATTTTAGAATTGTTTTCTTTATTTATTCATTTAATTTCATATATCTATGGTTTAATTACAATTAAATATACTAATCATAATTTTTATTAATTATAAATGGTCCCAAATGTCCTAGTTAGTCATATAATTAATCTAGCTTACTCCAATATTTATTTCATAATTTATTTCGTCATTTACTTAATTATTTACTAAATATGTACAAATTGGCCCAATTACAATTAAATCATTTAAAAATATCTAAAAATATTATATTTCAATTTTGGTTGGTCTGAATATGTATATTTATACTAGGTATTTAATTTATATTTTTCCAAATTTTATTTATTTCATTTACTATTTTTTTTTATTGAAAATGGGCCGAACCGGCCAAAGAAGACTGGGTTGTCTTCTTCCCAGCTCTTCTCGAGGTCGCGATTCCGGCGACCGAAATTACGAAAACTTCGGCGAGCGATAACTTTACTTACAGGTAACGGTTTTTGACGATTCAAGTTGCAAAATGATCCTCACGTCGAGACGAAGCTCCTCCACCCCTATCTACGGCCAATTGTCCGCTTTTGCTGAAGACCCGTTTGCACGGCTTGACACTCCGGCGATGTCTAAGCAACTCCGGTGACTACGAATCGGTCTGGAATTTATTGGGAAGTATTCCTAGACCTCTCACGACCCTTCTCTATCATTTTTACAAAGTTTGATACGTAAAATAATATAGATATAAATTTTGCTGCGAGATTATGTATATATATATATATATATGTATATGTATATATAGCTTCTATCTCTCCGATTTGTAGTGTTTGGGATGGCTAAGAGGGTGTATTTATAGGTCTAGATAGTCTTTATGGTTTATTTTATTTATTTGATAATTGTATGAATAATAATAATAATGTATATGATAGGTTAGTAGTTGATCATGACATGTGTATTGATTCCTGATTTGATTCCCATTTATATTAATGTTTCATTTTTTTTAATTACTTAAATGTATTTTGAGTTTTACATATAAATATATATATATGTAAATATATGTACCTAATGTATATACATTATTTGGTAGGTGATCTTAGCATGTGCCATTGTTTTATGATCCGATATTTTCATTTATTAATTTGATGCTATTATTAGTAATTTATAAAATTCTTACTATTTTTATTTATTTATTTATTCTGTCACCTATATTTTATCTGATTTATTTCCATTTTATTTTTATTTTATTTTTCCGATACCACATAAGTGTTTAATTCTATTGCATGTAGTGTGCGTATATTTTTATACACCAAGTATAATACAAAATATTTTGATATTACTTTTATTTGATTTATCAGATATAACTTATCTGATTTATTTATTTATTTATTTTTATTTCAAATTTTCAAGGTATCACAAAGGATGATCCACGTAGAGTGCGATTCCAAGCTAGTGGTCGGTCAAATCTCCGGTGAGTATGAAGCAAAGGAGGGAAGAATGAAACAATACAGGGAGACCACCAAAGAATTGCTCAAGGTATTTGAAGCACATTCTATCACTCAAATACCGAGGACTCAAAATTTTGAGGCCGACGTCTTATCCAAACTCTCAGATGAATCACCAGAACATCTCTCCAAGATTGTGAGGATAGAGGAACTCAACCTCTCCAGTAGGGGTGGGCATTTCGATTTTCGGTTTTCTTCGATTTCGGTTCAGTTTCAGTTTATTCGGTTTGAGAAAAATAGTACCAAACTCAAACCAAAAGAATTTCAGTTTGGTTTCGGTTCAGTTTGGGAAAAATTCGGTTCAGTTCGGTTTGATGTTCGGTTTATAAACTTGAAAAGGATTATGTGTTGTTACATATTTTACATTCACATTTTTCTAGACTATCTACTATTGTAAATATAATAGTAATTCCCTATATGAAAAACAAAAACATGAAAACAAGTCAATCAAGTAAATGAAGTATTAGATAAGAGGATAATGAAATCAATCAATTAATGAATAATCTGCAAATGCATACCACCTGTAGCAAGTCCTGATCACCCAGTGGATGGAAAAACATTCCTATCTTTCTCAATCATACTGTAGTCTGTACCCATGGACCTTCCTAAGACCAACACTGTGCTTTTTTTTACCTAAAACTCTTGCATTCCCTCCACTACCCTCTCAGCATATACATTGCTTAACAATGTATCCACTATCCACAGTCTGTACATTCAAAAGGTTCTCCTGAATGCTTCTGATAATATCAGTGGAGCAAACTAGAGAACCTGCCTTCACATACTAATGATTAACATAAATGCAAGTGTACATACTACATAGCTTAAACATACTGCCTGCAGCACACACAAGTTTACAAGAGTCAAAGAAAGTTCATAGTTTAAACATACTGTCTGCACATGCTAAACCAAAGAAAGTTTGACACACTAGCTTACAAGAGCCACTTGCATATCACAGTTCAAGGAAAAACAAAAAATTTCAAAATGTCTCCAAATATGCATACTGCCTGCACCTGCACTAAGTGCCTACATCCGTGCAAACTCCCTGCAGCCATACCTGCAAAGAAAACATGACATTGAACGAAAAATGAATGTCAAACATTGGATGTCCTAATTCTTAACACTTCATTAAAATTTAAAAATAGCACTAGAAAGAAATCAGGAAGCATTATGAAAGCAAGTACTGTGTCTCTATGTCATACCTGGAAAAATAAAACTTCAGTATTCTTGACCAAGCATCGATATCAAATATCACCTTGTTGATTGCTTAACTTACGGAGCTCTAAAACAATTCAATTGAAACATGGCATACCTAGTTAAATGCATCTTAAAAACATTATAATGAATTTAAAATAATTAAAACTTAAAATACCTTCAGCCATTGAATCCATAAACTCTGTTTCCTCTACTATTTGGTGAAGGCTCGCTTTTGCATCATAATCAAATGATGAACGTAACCTGTCTTGTGTCAAAATCAGCGCCTCAAGCATATTAGGAGTTAGACAACTCCTATATGGATCTAAAACACGACCTCATGTGCTAAAGGCAGATTCGGATGCAACCGTTGAAACTTGAATTGCAAGAACATCTCTTGTCATTTCAGCCAAAACTGAAAATTTCACACTATGTCCCCTCCACCATGATGTGATATCGAAATGCATGCCCAATCTATTGTGTGATGGCATCTCAACTTTTTCCACCAAATATACATCTAATTCGGTAGATGTTTCTTCCAAACTTCCCTTTTCACTAACCATTTGAGAATATTCAGAAAACAGATTTTCAAATCCATCATCGCCATCCAAATTCAAGAAACCGTGTGAATTACTCTCACTTAAGGAACAAGATTGATTGACACTTCCGCTTTCACTTTCACATGCAAGTGCACTACACTTTTTAGAATGTAATGCACTATATTCTTCATACAACCTACGTAGCACTTCTACGACCGCTTCTTTCATTTGAATACACTTCACACTATCTTTACCATGTAATTTCTCCAAACAAATGGTCACAAAAGTCATTTTACTTCTTGGATCAAACACACTCGCAATAATGAGTAGTTTGTTAATCTCCACACCCCCCCAATATTTTTCAAACTTGCTTTTCATATCACTGGCAGCCTTATTGAACTTGGGATCAGAGTTGCTGATTACTGATTTTAGATTCATTTCAAGTGAGCATATCTCATTATAGCAACAACTAGTCGTCACACTTTTAGATGCAGAAAAAAAATAAAGTTGAATCATAGAAGATTTTTAAAAATCTTAAATCGCCGAACATTCTCCCAATCATTGAGTTTTGGCGGTCCAACTCTTTTTTTACCCTTTTCGTCTTCTAGAAAGTAACCATCATACAACTTATCTTCAACAACCATTTTATCAAAAGCTCCCCTATGCTTAAGTGTTGTAGTCAACATGAGGTAAGTATAATTCCACCTAATGTTGTTGTCCAAAATCAAACTCCCTCTAATCAGCTTATCAAGGTCAGAACGCTTTTGAAAAGCTTGAAACCTAGCATTAGATGACCTCACATACTTCACTGCGTTACGGACACTAACAACACTATCGCTTATATCGGCCAAACCATCTCTTGCAATCAAATTCAATATATGTGCACAACAACGCACATGCATGAACTCACCGTCAAAAAGTAAAGGATCATCTCTCCAAAAACCTAGGTTACTTTTCAAGATCCTAATTGTATTATCATTTGCAGTAGCATTGTCTACGGTAACAGTGAACACCTTCTTAATACCCCAATCAATCAAGCAGCTCTCTATTTGTTTAGCAATTGTCTCTCCTTTATGATCACAAACTGGCTTGAAACTAATGATTCTCCTATGCAACTGGAAATTCACATCAATAAAGTGTGCAGTGATGACCATATAACTAACAGTGGTAGTGTTAGTTGTCCATATATCAGTTGTCAAAGAAATTGTTTGTTTGTTGAACAAACTCCTTAGGGCAGATTTTTCTTTCAAATGGAGTTCCATAATATCCCTAGCGAGTGTTCTTCTTGATGGGACAACAAATTTAGGACAAGCAACACTACAGAAATGTCTAAACCCCGCCCCTTCTACAAAACGCAATGCCAATTCATCTAAAATCACCATCTTAACTAATGCCATTCTACATGCGTCTTGACTAAATCCAATGGCCACAAGTTGACCACCAACACTATCATCTTCCTATATACAAAACGCCGTGGAAATATAGGCCAACTTTCCCGCCCAGTTTGATGGATCAAAGTAGGGGTTGTTCAGCAAAATAGGCATAGCTCCAAGTCAAGTACAACATTTAATGTGGATTTGATTTACCGCAGCAATGTCATATCAAAACTTTTAGATTTGTATTCGTACCAATTGAATTTAAATATGGGCATTAGTAAAAAAATGAGGTACAGGCATTTAATGTCATAGCTCCAAGCCAAGTACATGCATTTAATGCTGACTTAATGTCATTTCAAGAAATTTCCAAGCTTCAAATACATACTCATACATCAATATGGTGCATTTTGTACTCATACATTAGGTCGAAATATGGGTTGTGCACCATATTCGTATAAATATGGGTTGTGCACCGTATAAATAAATTCCAAAAATTTAGAGGTCAGTTGGTAACTCAAAAAATTACTTGAACTGGTCGATTCTATTGAAATTAATGAAGTTCTGGTTGAAGTGGTTGCATCGACTGATTCTGCGTATTTATAAAAAAGTACATTTAGAATATTTTTGATTAGTAAAATATATAAAAATTATATGAAAAAGAATATATAAAATGATCATCTATAGTAACTTCAGCCACTACAGTCAGAAAAGTAACTTCAACCTTACTTTTTCTTATTACGTGTTTGATGATAAAATTGTATGATAAGCATGATAAACTGAAAAACATGGTCATCAAGCGAGCTCTTAATTAGGGGTGAGATCGGTCCGGTCCGGGTCGAGATTTGCTAAACCCGGAAATTACCCGTAAGATCGCGGGTTATGAAAATTAGGGACCGAAACAAAACCCAATATATTCGGTCCGAGTCGGGTTTTTTGTATTCCGGGTTCGGCCCGGGTTCGGGGTGGGCCGGTTAAAGCCCGAATATGAAATCATCGCATTTTTCTTTTATAATTTAAAATCTATTTTCAAATAAAATTAATAAAAAGTACAAACCGCAAATAATAACACAATTATTAGTCTCCAAAATAACCAAGAATTCAAATCCAAAGAAGACAATTATGATACTACTTTGTTTAAGATGCATAAAAATAAATAATATAGGTGTTCTAAAAAATTTACGAAATAAAATTTATGGATAAAAATGTGACTAAATTTATAAATATGTTTTCATGGTCATTACGGTAAATAAATTGAACATATTTGAAGTCACTAAAAGTTATTCAATCATTTTTTCATCCACAATGATTATAATCATATATTAGGAATTAATTTATAAATTATATTGGTATATTATATTGATTTTATATTAAAGCTAATTGTTTCGGGTTTTTATCGGACCAGGCCGGGTTATAGATTTCAGGGCCGATTAATGAGCCCGAAATTTCGGGTTCTGTCCGGGATTTTTTTATTCGGGCCGGTCAAAAAGATAATTGTGTTTTTGTAAATTTTCATCCGGGTGAGAATCTAGTTTATATTAACACAAGTAAGATTTTTTTGGGTTTGCCTTTCAAGATGGTTCTTAAACTCTTGGCATTTTTCATTATGAGCTTTCAGAGTACTAGTTCCACACTTTACCGACCCACACTGATATTCTTTAGAGCAGTAGTTACATCTACACTTATCTAGTGTTGGACCAAACTTTGTGAAGTGCTCCCATACCTTTGATCTTGGCGCTATTTCTTTTTTTTGCTTTTGTTTTGGACCTTTAGGAGGCAAAGCACCAACATTTGAGGCTGATGGTTGCTTCCTCTTTTGTGCAACACAAGTGTCCTCCTCCATTGATTCAATTGTGAGGTCAAAATCAACTATGTTAGCATTGTCTTCACAACAGGAGGAATCTGCCATCTACATAATACAAAATTTAAACAAAATGTAACTAATACCACAATAAATAAAATGTAACTAAAAAATAACATATAGTTTCCATACTGATTTTGTACTTTGGACAGATTGTCAGAATATAGGCTGATCAACAATATTAATGAATCTAAAAAAAGAACCTTTACTAATACACTTAAAGCTTGAGATTTTGAAAATTGCAAATTCATTATTGAACAACAACATAGGAGGTTGTCAACACAGTTTGGTTTGGATTGTAACAAAACCAAACCGATTAAATGAATAAAATAATGCTAGTTAACAATAAAATTAATATACAAAACAAATAGCATGAAAGCAAGCTATTACTTGTTTCTCAAGAAGGATTAAGGTTTGCTGCCACTGCACAGAGGTTAGATGAGGTTAGTTACCAGAAATTAGCATGCATAACATCAGGGCTTAAATCTGAAATCAGGAGCCTTTGATTAAGTGGGTTTCACGGAGTTGCAAAATGCTGACAAGGTTGGTTTAGTTATATTACAAGGCAATGTTTCATGTGTTAGGAAGCAGGAACTGTGCTAATTTGTAAGTTTTCTGTCATGAGCATCCATATTTCTTCATTCTGCATTCTGCAATCTGTTTCATACAGGGCAAAAAAAGCTACCTATGTTTCATGCAAAATAGATGGACTATTGTTGACAGAGCACCATCAAACACTCAAAATACTTCACTTAAATGTATAATTCTTAACAATGACATCAATAATAACATGCATATTAAAAATCAGTGAGCTCTAATGTACGTACGGTCCATAGCCCTTCAAAACATCTGATATACACATCAAATAGGGATGAAAACAAAAGAAGGATTTGGGTTATTCAAAATAATTGTAGAGAGAAGATGGTTTGAATTACAAAGAGCGTGAATAATTGCTATATAGCAATTAGAAACGAACAATTTACACCCAAGTTAAAACAGTGAAATATTCTTTGAACCGAAAGCCCTAGTCTAAGGACAATTTCAATTCCTCTCCATGAGGTGTTCTACTTTAACAAAGAAATAATGGAATGAAAATCAAAATTAGAAGATACATAAATAGATAAGTCTATTGACCTTACATGAAAACCTTGCACTAAGACACTGACCACCCAAGATTTCAAGCTCCCAAGTTTCAACAACTAAGAATTAGGTTAAGGGAAGGAGATGGCTTGTGCGCAGCTTTGAAAGGATAAAGCGGCATGTGAATAGACTTCTGCAATCGATATAATGAATTAGGGTTCATGGCTTGTGCACAGCTTTGAAAGTTTGAAGTCGGCACAGCTTGTACATATCCCGCGTTTTTTAGAATAGGCAAACCGACCGGGTCATACGGTTTTTCGGTTTATAAATTAAACCGGGCCATTCGGTTTGTAAATATTTGTACCAAACGGTTTGACTAAGGCAAACCAAACCAAACCAAACTTCAATTTTTGGGTTTGGTTCGGTCAAACCGAACCACTTTGCCCACCCCTACTCTCCAGCATACATGTCAACCCCATCATGGATATACACCAGAGGCCGGATGATTGGATCTCAGACATCGCCAACTTCATCACAACGGGGCAATTGCCCAAAGATGAGAACCATAAGAAGTTAGCCAAGCTTAGGGCCCCAAGCTACGTCCTCGAGAACGGCAAAATCTACTAGCGGTCCTACAACGGCACTTTACTCTGATGCCTCCACGAGGAAGAGGCCCAAGTCGCCATGGTGGAGGTGTAGAGTGGCATCTGCTCATCTCATCAGGGACCCTTCTCAATGTCCCGAAGGCTGATCATACAAGGATATTTCTGACCCACCATGGCCCGGGATTGCGCAGACCTCGCCCGGAAATGCAGCGCTTGTCAACACTTTCAGAAGGCTCCGGGGAGCCCCGCAGTGAATTACACTCCCGTCAGCACAGCAATACCCTTCTCCAAGTGGGGCAGTGACCTAGTAGGCACATTGCCGAGGGGTACATCACACAACAGATACATAATCATGGCCATTGACTACTTCACGAAGTGGGTAGAGGCTGAAGCCCTCTCTAGTCTCTAGTATCACAGAGGCCCGCTGCCGCCGTTTTGTGTTAAAGAACATTCTTACCAGGTTCAGCGTCCCCCAACAGATCGTCTCTGACAACGGAACTCAATTTGAAGCCCCCCCTTCTGTGAACTCTTGGAGGCATGAGGAATAAAACAAACCTTTTCTTCGGTAGCCTACCCACAAGGCAACGGTCAAGTCGAGAATGTCAACCGCACAATACTGGAAGACTTGAAAAAGAAATTGGAGGCCGAAGGTGGAGACTGGGTCGAAGAATTACACAACATCTTGTGGGCCTACCGCACCACCCCTCGGAGGGCGATGGACGAGACCCCTTCGCCCTACGCTACGGATTTGAAGCCAAAGCACCAACCGAAGTGACCCTCCCAACTAGGAGGGTAGACCAATACAAAACGAAAAGCAACGACGCAGACATGGCCCTCGACCTCCACCTCATCTCAGAACGCAGGGAGCAAGCTTTCCTAAGGGCTGAGAACTATAGACGCCAGGTGAAGGGCTACGTCGATTCTAAGGTTCGTTCCCCGGAATTCCAGGCTAGGGACTACGTCCTTAGAAGAAGGGAAGCCAGCCAACCCACCGAGGGTGGCAAGCTAGCACCGAAGTTTGAAGGCCCCTACATTATGACAGCCATCATTATACAAGGAATGTACAAACTATAACGCCCATACGGGACTGAAGTTCCCAGACACTGGAATGTACATCACTTGGTGAAATTTTATCAATAACAACTTGTTTGAGTGGCCAAGCCCTTGAACAAGCCCCCGACCCAAGGCCTTATTGCATGAAAATGAAAGTATTTTGTTCTAATCATGTAAACACAAGCCCTCAGCACCAAGTGCTGAGGATGAATCCTCGGGTCAACTACAAGAAAAAAAACCAAGTGGTTTCACGTTAAAAGAATCCCTCGGTACCGAGTACCAGAGGCGAATTATCTGGACACCACACCAAGTGTTTCGAATGAACACCCACAACATCATGCTGAAAACAAAGTCGTTCCCCTCGAGGACGTCCCTATACCGAAGGCGCCAGCTATCGGTTCCGGAAGCACCAAGTGTCCCCGGCCATTTGCGTCTAACACGCAAATAAAACCCTTCCCTAAAACGCTTTCCGAGGCCATTGCCCCAATGGAATGGCAGGAAACGGGCGATGTCCCAGGCCTAGGATTCGACTTTCACAAACGAAACGCTTCCCGCCCTATCCCTTAAGGGGAAGCAGGCAACAGACGATGTCTCAGACTGAGAGAACGACTTTCAAAAACGAGACGCTTTCCGCGCCATCCCCCAAGGGGAGGCAGGCAACAGATGATGTCTCGGGCCGAGGAAACGACTCTCACACCCCTCGGATCCCGGAAGGTCAAACACCGAGGGGGGAGCCAGCGGTTCAAACCGTTGCCTCCCAGACAGACCAAGTCTTCCCAAGAAACCAAGTTTCTTGAAGCCTCCCCCCTTCTTCAAAAAAAAGAAAAAAAAGGACCGAGGGGGAGTAGACTCAGCGAGCAATCAATGAGAAAATTATATATGAGGCTAAAAATTGGCTAAGTCCACATTTTAGAAGCCCCCGGCATCTCAACAAATACCGAAGGCTCCTATTCTATGAATGAGTTAGAAATTGGCTAAGTCCACTTTACTACAGCCTCCGGCATATCAACAAATACTGAAGGCTCCTACTCTACGGATGAGTTAGAAATTGGCCAAGTCCACTTTACTACAGCCTCCGACATCTAAACAAATACTGAAGGCTCCTATTCTACGAATGAGTTTGAAATTAGCCAAGTCCACATTACTACAGCCTCCGGCATATCAACAAATACCGAAGGCTCCTATTCTACGAATGAGTTAGAAAATTTACTACAACCTCTGGTACCTCAACAAGCATCGGGGGCCACAACCCCGGAATGTTGCCATCACAGAAGGCTACAGGTTTGTAGATTGAACGAAGGTTTTTTCTAAGTTCGTGACTTAAGGGCCTCGACACATCAGGCCATGCCGGAGGCCTATGCTTTTTGCATGTGCCTGAATTTCTCTAAGTCCAAAACTAATGGCCACCGGACAAAGTGGAAGAGGATTTACAACACATTCAAGCAAAACAAAAAATTCGGAAGCAAGAAAAGAAAATAGAAGGCAAAAAAGGCATCCATTCACAAGAGAAATTAAAAGTGTTGGTTACATCATGGCCGAAGTCGAAAGCTAGGGAATGTTGTTACACAACAATGTTCAAAAAAATCTAAGTACAATCATTAACTACGCCCTCTTCAAAAGCGCCCTCTTCAGCAGCTTTTGAGGTGGCATCATCAACCTCGCCTTCGTCACCCATGCCGCATTCACGCATTAGCTAAGAGTCTTCAATAATAGGCCTCTCTTCGCCCGGGGGGAGGGGGATCCTGATGTCTGGCTGATGAGGGGGAAGGCCATAGGCTTTTGGTTGAAACTGCTCCGGAGGCACGTTAAAGTGTCGGGCCAGCTTCCGGTACACCAGTCGCTGAGTGAAGAACTCCTTGGCCTGGTAGAAGGAGATGCCCTTCCCCGCCAACCACGTTTGGTCGGGCCTTCAACCCAGGCTTCTACGCTCTGCTCCACTATAGAGGAAAGCCGCTCCTTCCTGTCCTCGGCCTTCCAGCCCTCGGAAACAAAGGCCTCTACAACAGCCTTTCTCGCATTGGCCACCGCCTCGGTCTTGGCCGCCTCAGAAGCTTCTGCGGCCATCCTCGCGGCCTCCGAAGCAGCCTCCCCGATCTCAGCCATGCCCTCATCTTTGCCCTCAGCCTTGGCAGCCTGCACCCTTTGTTCCACACCCTCCGTCGCCGACCGAATGTTGTGTTCAGCTTCCGCCAGCTTCCTCTTGAAGTTGGCATTCTCATCATCGGCAGCAATTTTGGCCTTCCTCAGCTGCTCGACCCTTCGAAGGTGCTCGCACAGGCCCATGTAGCTCTACAACAACAAGGGCGCGAGGGTCAGACGTGTTACATACATTACAACAAAAGCAAATAGACAGGGAAAAGGAGGAAGGACTCACGGAAGCACTGTTCATAATGATCTTGAATTCGAGGGCGCTATCATCCATCCGGGAAAGCGCCACTCTATCGCCCGAAGGCATCACCTGGTTCATGTATACCAAGGGGCAGAAGGTAGCATCCAGGATAGAGCTACCCTTTGTCATGAAGGCCTCCACCTTCTCCCCGCCGAAGAAGGCCTCATTCATAGACTCCTGAGGCATGGGGCTGAGGCTGACAACGTCACCCACGACGATAACATCATCACAGGTAGGTTGCTTGTCAGCGTCAACAACCTTCTGTTTCTTTGTCAGGGGCTCAGGACCCTTCCCGGGCTTCTTCTTCTTGGCCGCATCAGCCCTAGAATTTCCCGCTTCCTGCTCGGCCCCAACGGCTGACGAGGGTCCCTCGGCCCCCTTCTGGAAAAAAGCATCCACCGGCTTCTGCATCATCGGTTCCTTCTTCTTCTGGGTCTTGCCCAGTTGCTTCCTCAGCGTGGCTAGAGCCCTCATGTCCATATTAGCACCTGCACAACAAAATAGATGATAAGGTCGAGGGGGTCAAAGCTACAATGACAAAAAATGAAACTATGAAAATTTCTAAGTATAAAACTCTGGAGCCTCCGGGAACCATCTCCGACACTCTCATATACCCGATCTATCATCGAATACTTCTCATCATTCTCCCTGAATAGGCGGTAGTGGCGGAAGCCCAGGCTATACAAGATTACAAGTCGTCCGAGAGGGTGGCATCATCAATTGTCACCAAGTGACGATTATTGAGGCCCTCTCTCTAAGGCTCTCTCTCTCTAGAAAAATTGGCAGAGCTTCGATTCAACTTAAAATCACACAAGGGAGATGAGATCAGGCCAGGGGTATTTATAGCCTCCCCAACCGCGATTAGGGCCTGAATCTGGGCCTCGGGTTGAAAGACCATCGTCACAAACCGTCGCATCAACCAACCGGCGACACCCGCCCAGAACAAGCCAACTATCCCTCGCCACGTGGCTGTCCCAACGGTCATATCCCAACGACCATTTTTGAAACACTGAAGTGGCCTCAGCTGACACCCTTCAAACGACAACAAAGCAAGCCCTCGGGTTATCACATTCAAACCCCTTCATCCAGAGTTAGCCCTCAGCATGAAGGTGTGGGGGACTGGGGACCCTCGGGAAATACGCCAGTTTTCAAAGAATTGCAAAGGCGACTCGCTTGCAGTTCCCCTCAGAGAGACCTCAGCCCCTTAATGT